ATCTCTAGAATTGAAAGAAATATTTAAATTTAACGGATTTTATTTTTTTGTTGCATTATTTATGATTGCCACTGTAAGTCTTTTTGGATATTCCATTCATTATTTTAAGGCTTTGGCTGTTCAGTTTAAGCTAAGAATACTGCTGGATTATTATCTCAAGGGTTAGCAAATAACTCATTTTTATCAAAATCAAATAAATTTTCTTCGTCAGAGAAGTCTTCTTTACTATTAAAATAAAAGATATCTCATTTGTCAAGATCTTCATCTTCATATTGATCATTATAAGTTAGATCTTTAATTACATTGATTAGTTCATTCATAGATATATCAGATTCTTCATCTAATTTAACAGAGAAACTGGTATAAAAAGTAATTAGAACAGAGGCAGATTTTGTAAGATATCTGAACTTTACTTTTTTTTCATCAAAGTCAAGAATGGCTTTAGTTCTTTGAAACTAATCAGTTCCTAATAGCAAGTTTTCATTAGGAAATTCAATGACTTGTAGAGTTATCAGCATACAAATGGATCTAATGGTCATTTTAATGGTATTGATCTTTTCTAAAGCTCTAATTCTTTTTTCATTAGTAGTATTGATGATTATTTTTGATGGTTCATCAATCTTTAATTTAAGTTGTTTGACTAAACTACTTGTAATAATACTGATAGCTACACCAGAGTCAAGAATAGCTTGCACACATTGCTATGATGAATTTGAATAGTACATTTGACTGCAGTTGTAAGAGTATTATCGTTGTCACTTATATATTTATCATCAAGATCAACATTATTGGTTTCTTTAATGATAGCTCTTTTTAAAGCATTAGCTAAGTTTCTCTTTTGGTATGGATATTTTAATCATTGTCCAAGTTTCACAGATAAAGGTAAGTTTAGAATATCCTCAGTGATATTATAAGAGACTAATTGGTTAATAGCAGAGGGATGCATAGTAATTTTCTTTAAGGTTTCTTAACCTTTGGAGTTAAAATTCCTTCTTCAATATCATAGAAGTAGTAAGAGGAATTGGTTTACTTATATTTCTATTTTTTAATCTCATTTCTTGTTAAGATTCAGACATCCTTTTACTTTTCTCTTTAGTATCCTTCCTGTTAATAGTATATAGAGTGACCATTACTCTTGAAGTAATATAAACCTCTTCATAATTTTCTTCTTCATTTTCAGAATCAAGGTTAAAATAAACTTCAACCATATTTGCATCCTTTCTCTTTTTAGAGAGCAAGTCACATTCTCTAGAGTAATGACCTTTCTTTTGACAATTAAAATAAGTAGTTTGAAATTTATCTGGTTTTTGTCCTGTGACTTTAGGTCTTATTTGGGTTTGAACATTTAAGACGAAACAATATTAGCATAATTAAGAGTTAGCTTTTCTATTTGCTTTGTTAAGACTTTAAGAGCATCATCAGTAGGAGCTCTAACTTTTCGATCTACTTAACGTTTCTGTCTTTCAGCTTATCTTTCAAAATAAACTTCAGCTTTATAGTCGATAGCCTCTTGAATTATTTTATTAATATCTGCAGGTTTACTAGCAGCAACATATCACATTAAGTCCTTTTTTAATCCCTTTAGAAATAATCTAATAATATATAGTTTTGGTAGATCATTATCAGGGTCTACCTTTTTTCTTAATCTTTTAAATCTATTAAAGTATGATTCTACTTTTTTATTCTTTCTTTGAAGAATATCATTGAATTCATAATACCATTTGTTTTGTTGTTCAATTATAGAGAAATGGTTTATAAATTTAAATACAAAGATCTCAGCATCATTTTCATTGACTGTAACTCTTTAACTTTGAGCAAATGTAGTATTCTTATACCAATCAACAGCTATATTATTGAGAAATACTCTAGCAATTTCAACCATTCGTTCATTATTCCAGTTGTTAACTTTCGCAGCTTTCTCAAAATGGGCAATCCAATCAGATGGATCCTCTTCACTTTTTCCTAAAAAGCATTTTACTAAAACTAAATTAGTTTTTTCTTTAGTGGCTGGTGTGGAGGTCTGTTTTGAACTTCCTGAGTGAGTTGATCGATAGAATTTGTGAGCTGGGTAATGAAGACATTAAATTGATCTGCGTCTATTATGTTTCTTCTTGAAGGTTCTAATGAGAGGAATAATAAAAGTTGTAATTCAGTTGCTATAGAGCATTCAAAGTTGACTGAATAATAAGATTCTTCTAATATACAAATAGCAATGAAGTCAAAGTCAAATCTGAAATCAAAAGGATTAACAAAGGTTAAACTATATAACAATAATTTGGCTTCTCTTTTTAGAGTTTTAATGAGCTGTAATTCACTAAAATGTTATCAATACTGATTAAATAAAGTTACTGTTTTTCCAGTATATACAAAAGCACTAAATTCAGCACTAATTCAATTCCAAAAATGTTTGAACGGTAAAGATACTTCTTCTGGAAGTGGATAGTAAATTATACAAGGGTAATCAATTGATAAGTAACTTCTATTCTCAAAGTGTTATTAAATATGATTTCTTTGTAGTATAAGATAGAGATTAAAATTTATTCATTAAAAGCTAGAAGTCCTGACAGGAAATCATCACTTTTGTTAGCTTGGTATCTGTAAACTTAAACGATAAACTTTTATTTCAATCTATCAAATTAAATATAAGATAATATCACAATCACACTTATATGAAAATATGATAAAAGATAATAGTAAATGAATTTAACGATTTCTTTATTGAACTCTTGATTTATCCTAAAACCTCAACTTGAGTTACTTTTCAACTCAAGGGAAAATACAAAAAAGATATTTATATAAAATAAAATAATATAAAATCAACTATAACAAATATAATAAAGAAAATAAATAATATAACTATGATAAATATAATATATATAATAAATAAGATATAATTAATAAATATAATAAATATAATTCATATATCTAATATGTCTACTTGATCAACATTGATAACTTTAGCAACTTTGTCAACTTTGTCAACTATGTTGATTATTTGGATTACATGACTTTATTTTAGTAAGTTATGGATCATAACTTTATTATGCTACCGTAATGAGCTGAAGGGTCTATTTGAAATGTCATACTCATATTCATTTAAAAGAGCAGAATTAGTTCTAATCTATATATATTTTATTTTATTCGTCTCCTCCCATTTATTTTTTTTATTATTTTTTATTTAATTTATTAATTTTTTTATTTCTTTTTAATTTTAAATATACATTATTATTTATTTATCCTCCCTTTTCCGTTTATTTTTTTTATTATTTTTAAATTTTTTTACCCTCTCTGATCTTTTTAATTTCTTTTTTTTATTTTTTTTATTATATTTTTTATCCTTTTCTCACAATCTTTTTTATTTTTATCTTTTTATTTTCAATAAAATTATTTTTATTTAAATATAAATAAAACAAATAGATGACATAGTCAATCATAGTGAAAAACAATTTTTAGTTAATAAGTTAATATTAAAGTTTGATTTTTGATTAAAATACATAATATTTCTTAATTGATAGAAACTTTATTTTAAAATTAAAAATGTTTTTGCATTATGATTTCAATACATAAATAATTATTTGATAACGGAATAAGTAAAACATTATTTAAAAAAAAAATAATTATATAGTAATAAAATTCTCAAAATTTTTAAATAATCTATTTTTTAATGTAACATTTTATTAAGTTTGCATTATTATATGATAAATATAGAATATAAATAACACAGTGATAATAAAAAATATTTAAATTATCTAATTTATTCTCAAGTTCTTCAGATATAAATAAATTACAAGCAATAGTAATGATTATAAATTATTTAATATAATAAATGAAATGTATAAATTAAGTTATAAAATAAAAATTATATCAATAAATTTCATTAAGAATGTTAGATATTCAAAAAGTAGATTAGTTTAGTAAATAAGTTTACTAGTAATACAGTCCGCGACATAAATATCCAGAATTTTATCGGTAGCATGAAAAAAGCCCCTATACCGCCAATTTATGTCTGACCAAAACAAAAATTAAAATAGCAATTTTTTAGCTATTTATAGATATAAAAATAACGCCACAAAAATTTCACGTG